AGTTCCGAGATCCGAGGTTCCTCAATTTTTGAGCAAACCTAGCATATTCATACACCATTTTCTTCCAAATTCTGTCAGCTATTCAAAACATTAGCTAAATCCGGGATTTTTCCTCATGCGTAGCCGCTATATAAAAACAAACCGCAAAAAAGGCCTTTTTAGGCCATTTTTTCAAAATGGCGGAAAATGCTCACCAGATACGCGGTAGGAAACTTCAGATTCGGATTCAGCGACCCAAAAAACATTAAGTAAGCCAAAAAAATCGCTGTATACCCAAAATTCCAGGTAGACTTACCAGGCGCCTGGACTATCATTAAAATGGAGCTCTCCGTCGCCCGGCTGTCAAAAAGGCGTATCTACACTTTGAGATGAACCCAGAAAAACATTGAATGGAGATGTTGCATGTGTGGGGAATTTGCGATTTGACTGTTGATTCTTACATAAAAGTTCGTGAGAAACACGATTCTGCATCCCTTTCTGCACCCAGCGCTTCAATCGCAAATTGCAGTCAATTTGCTTTTTATAATACCTCGGAGACGTAAACGACAGGTTAGGAAAACAAAACATAATCTTTTCAATCGACAAACGTTGATTATTCCGCGGATTTCTGGGGAAGTTCAGACTTTCAACTAACGAGGTTTTTAATAAGTATATTGTTGAAATTCATGGTATCCTTCACAGAGTATTAAATCATTCAATGGGAGTTTTTTTTAGGGGCTAAGTATTATTTTGAATACACGTAGCGCGTTTTTTGATAATACACTTGTAGGGATTTGAGTCGTTGGAATAATGGCGCATTGTGACAACAGCGCTAAATTTCAGCCCCTTTCTGCCGACAGCGTCGGACATAAACAAGAGTAAAAACCAACAGCTGTCGACTGGGAAAATTCACCAATGAAAGTTGTCGAATTGCCCCGAAAACCTCATCTCTCCGTGGTCGAATAAACAGAATATCCTAAAAAATTGCTGAATTCGGCAACCTTGGGTCAAACTGCGTTGTCAAAGAGCCATAGACTGGACTCTTAAAAATGCTCATCATCAACGCACAGTAGCCTGGAATCAAGGCCCCAAGGACTAAAGTACCAAACTTTTGAAAAAAACCTAAAACCGAGTCCAAGAACACTCCCAAAATGATCAAGCAGCAATCTCAACATTTAATTTTCAAGGTGTTTGAAGTTACAAAACCAAAAACGATCAGGAATGTTTCCCTTTTCAAGTGTGTTCACTTTTAGCCTCCAAATTTCAATCCTTTCCATTTGTGCGCCGGCGCATCGGTTGATCACTTGATGGCTCTCGGTCACCTAATTAACTCGCGATCTAGATCAGTAGAATACTTTGGTCACTTACTTCGGTTGGCTCCGAGGATTGCACTTCGCTGACGCGGTGTTGTCAAATATTGACTGTAATTCGCGTTAGGTGCATTCATTTTCATTGGAAAATCGGAGACTTTGCCACGTTTGGCATTTCTTAGCTACTACCGATCGCGACTGCTCTTTCGGAGAATCACTGATTATCGACCTTGCGCTTTTTTCACCGTCCACGCACTACTCAAGGCTCTGCAGTGTGGAAAGTCTCGATTGGTGAATTACTAAAAACTTTGATTTTGAGAACCGTAGTAGTAATGGGTTTATATACAATGTATGCATTAAAGCACAACACTACAAGTTTTCTCCTCAAATTCTACAAGGAAACCGAATCACACAACGGATAGTCTGAAAATTCTTTTTTGAAGAAACCTCGTAATGCGCTTCATTTTGCAATGGATCACTAAACAAGGTACGAATTTAAGCAATCTGATACATTTTTTTAACCAGAATTTCACGCAGAACACGATTAACGCAACAAATATTACTGAAACCAACACCTAACAAAGATACTAACGTTTTCATTTCACATTGGTTACGAGGAATTCGAACTGCCCGCGCACAAGAAACTCAAAGCTCTACGTGAGTCAAATCGTGCACTACAACGGTTTCAGCAAGCTTCTCAATCAAGCAATGCTCATTTCCCACCATGTGTTGTTCAAACTATAAGCAATTTGCTATAGCTGAGCCAAAGCGTCAAAATTGAGGTTGCCAGATTTTTAAATTGCAGATACTGTCATGATAACGTTTAGCGCTTGATGTGAATCACGTAGAGCATTGAGTTTTCGGGAGCGGGTGGTTTGAATTCACGCATCAAGAATCATTAAATATCTTAGTAAGGAGTTGATATCAGTAATTTTCGTTGTGCGCATCGTGTTTTACGTGAAATTTTGGTCAAGTAACATGTATCAGAATGCTGAAATTCGTACCTTGTCTAGTGGTCCATTGGGAGCTACAGTCTCCGGCTCGGTTTAAAAACAACGTATGTACCATATGTTTTTCTATGCATGTTAGTGTTTTTACAAACGAGCCAGAAATTGTAACTCCTAATTGTAAAATGAAGTCCAATTTTTTATAGGAAGCAACACACTACAAGTCGGATTCAAAACTACTCCAAACTCATTTTTTGCCAAAGTGTGAACTTCAGCCAGAGCATAAATAAGAGTTGTTTCTCACATGAAACAGCTCAATAATCACGTTGAGCGCATCGGGAAGTATAAACTTAACTTCACAATCTGCTCAAGGAATATGCGTTTTTCAAAGCTTTCCGCCTCAAAAACTAGACCACGATATTAGTGAATATTTCGTAAGAGGAGTCCATCCAGCCCTTGCACTAGGATGCTACGCAACATTCATCATGGCTGACGCTCCCGCGCACAAATTATGCGGAAGCACCATGGTATTAATCAACGCAAGAGAAATGTAGACATAACCAAGCCGGTTAGTAAAATTTCATCTCATCACGTGTGTTTTGGGTTGGCGTTGGCCATGTTGAATATTGAGTAGCATCCCAGTGCGCAAGGGTTGGATAGAACGACTCCTCTTACAAAATTTTCAGCTGTGCTGCAGGATCGTTTTTGAAACGGGGAACTTAAATAAGCGCATTTTTCTTTCGACGATTGCGCAGTTGGGAGTTGATTTCAGACTTTTCCGACGCGCTTATCGTGATTTTCGAGCCATTTTCTGCAAAAGCCTACTCTTTTTGCTCTAGCTGAATTTTGCAATAGGCCCATTTCATAGTACTATAATGAAACCGCACTGTCGTTGCATTTTTTCGCGATAGGATTTCAATATTTACACAAACCGATTGCGGTGAACGCACGGGTCGTCAGGGCCGGATATATGAGGTGGCCACATGGGCCGCGGCGGTCCATGGCGGCAAATTTAGGGGGCGGCAAATCTTGCAATTTTTTTTAAATGTAGGTGTGAAAAAAATCGGATTCAGAAAAAAAATTACAAACGAGAAAAGACGACAAAATCTCTCATTTCCTGAGAGTAGGGTAATTTCTAATTTTGTCGTCTTTCGATGATACAAGAGACAGCACCGTAAATTAGTCGAGTTAAGAGAGAAATCAAACACGCAGTTACGCCTGGAGCGACGCGGCGCAGACAGCAATAGCCGTCGGCGCGGCGGTCGGCATGTAACACATATTGGCGCCTACAAGACTGCATGAATACTTCACGCATTGCGTCCAACACGTTGCGGTTAGCGTGAAACGCATAGCGCCTACAAGACTGCATGAATACTTCACGCATTGCGTCAAACACAATACGTTCAGCAGCGGTCGACGTGAAACGCATAGCGCCTACAAGACTGAAGGAATACTTCACGCGGTCAGTGCGGCGCGGCAGCGGAAGTTAAAATTGCATGTATTAAACCGCATATATGTTTGTTCTTTCATAATATTTTGGTTCATTTCTTATAAATGGAAGACTTTGTCCCCACAGAGATAGGTTTACGGAACCTGAGTTTCGTGCAAAGTTTCGTGAACTTTTGCTAGTAGTGTTGACAAGGCTTTCGCAAAAAAATGTGTCCAACACGAGTAAACGCATCTCATGCACCCCTCCCCTTCCGGCATGTTCACTCGATGGTTTTATCCATGTTTCAAAATGAATGAGAAGAAGGCGGCAAAATACAGGCGGCCCACGGGCGGCAAGTAGGTAAATCCGACCGTGCGGGTCGTAAGACAGGATGTTGGAGTTTTTTAGCCAACGTGCGTAAAAGTTCAGCTTAAAGCTGATATCTCATTACAGAGGGTAAAAACTCACACACAAGCATAATTGGATTGCATTTTGCAAAAAGGAAACACTAGCATTGCAATGTTGCTAAGATTGTGCAACTTCTTTTGTCTTGGAGGAAAAACCCGATTATCCCTTAATAGTTTCTATTTTACTCGCTAAAAACTGTAAAAAGACAAAAATTACCATCTAAATCATAGTTTTTCACAATTTCCGCAATTTTATTCAAAAAGATGAAGTTGTACAATCTTAGCATCATTGCAATGCTAGTGGTTCCTTTTTGCAAATTGCAATCCAATTTTCCCTCACAGAGATACGCTGTTTGGAGCAACACTAGTTACGTTCATTCTGGAAGGCAACTGCAGATTGGGAAAATTATGCTTGTGTGTGAGCTTTTTCCCTCTGTAGTGAGATATCAGCTTCAAGCTGAACTTTTTACGCACATTGGCTAAAAAACTCCAACATCCTGTTTTCAATATTTCCATTGCAGTAGCAACTTGGGGTGCGTTTCTGTGAAATTCGGTTTATTCGAACGGTTCCACCGGAAATACTTCCTACCTCAAAAATATTTCTTACATACATATCAAGCTGCTACCTCAGCTCACTAGAGCGCTCTGCGACTCCAAATCGCCATCGGAATCGATCCTCCCACAAATCATCGGGCAGATTACACCGTCTGCTCTCCCCCTCCACTCCCTCCCGCCCTCCAACCTTTTACTGGACGTCCAAGCCGCCTACTTCCGGGAGGAACCCAATCAATATTTCTTATATCAAAGATTTATAAATATTTATAATTTATAAATATTCTCATCAAATATTTATATAATATAAATATTCTTATCAAATATTTCTTGCTTCTACTGGAACTTTCAATTGTAAAAGAAAATTGTAACTCACCAGGTCTCGGTCTGGGCGCAGAGGCAAAAACGAAAGAATCGTCGTCATCCTCGGTGGCCTCAGCATAAACATCCGGATACTCAACATCGATCCCATCCGTCATATGCGTCGAAACCGAGTCCAGAATCTGCTTCCGGATATCCGACAAGAGCGTCACATTCTGGAGCATCCGATACAGTTCCTCCCTATCCTCATCATCCGCCAGCCGCCCGTAGTAGTGCAGCGCCTCGGCGCTAGGGGCGTCAGTGTCGTTGAGACTCACCCCTATCAAATGGGTGACGTTGTTCAGGTGCGACCCCCGCACGATCTTCGGCTGCTCCCCGCGAAACCCCGTCGGCTTCATGTACTGCGAGTTCTTTTGTCCGGGGGTCGAGAATGGTTGTCCGTAGACCCGGCGAAGGGGGTAGCGCTCCGTTGTCAACCCCCAGTCCATCGTTGCTAGTTGGGTATTGTGGGGCATCGTGGTCAGGCCACGGTTGTGGTTGATGGCTGTTGTTTGTCTACTCGTCGGCACGGAGAAGATGTTGCCAGGAGGGGGAGGGCCTTCTTCCGTGGGGTCGGGGAAGTAGTTATGATCTGCGCGGCGGTTGGCAGGGGGTGGGCTTTCCCCGCCCCCGGTTGCATCAGCGGCTCCACCCCCCGCCCCACCCCCGGGGTCATCGTCCCCCCGGGACTTAAACCCCCCTGCTTGGCTGCGTACGAATTTTATGAGGTGTTTGTGTTTGGAATCGATGTTGTTGCTCAGTAAGGAGATATTCGTGGAGATCGTGCGGTTACCAGGAGGTCGCCCGGAGGGCGAAGAGGTGGGCGTGGATGTCTTTAGTTTATTAAACTGGCGCAGTCGGTCTGGGGTGAGAAGATCGGAGTGGAGAAGGTGGGAGGGTCTCTGTTGCGTTTCCTCAGTCTGGTTGCCACTGGGGGCGTGGTTGTTCTGACTGTCAAAGCTATACGCCTCCGTTTGGGTGTCCAAATAACTCGGGGTCTTGCCGTAGTAGCTAGGAGTCTCGGTGTCACCGCCGATTTTGAAGGGATTCCGGTCGAAATTAAGCGTGTACTCTGAGGTGCTCACGCTGGTAAAGGGATCGTAGTTTTCCGGGTGGGGCGTTACTATGTAACTCGAGGGGCGTGGCTTGTCTTCGGGGTACTTGACGCGGCTGAAGACCTGCTGAGAATGCTGCGCGTGTTGTTCTTCCAGTTTGAGCTGCTGCTTGTGGTAGGCGAGCTGTTCTTGCTGCTGTTGGTAGAGCTGCTTGATGGGTTGGTTGAAGAACTGCTTCTGGGATTGTTGGAGTTTGTAGTAGTTCTGTTGGTACTCGTGGAGCTGCTCCGGCCTGCTGGTCTGCGGGTAGGGGACGTATTTCTCTTGCCCGCGAGTGGAGGGTTTGAAGTATTTGTTGGGGGGTCGCCGAGGCGGTGCATTGGGTTGCCGGTACTTACTATTAGCCTTATGATTAGAGAATTCAGGTAAACTAGGACTAGAGGGTGGGTTGAGGGCGTTTTTGTGATTGAAGGGGGACGCGGTACCCCCGCGGTAGCGCGAGTAGGGGGGCGGCGTGTGATAGGGGTTCAGGTGCTTCTGGTAGGGGGGGTTACCTATGCGGGGGTGCACTAGGCCCGGGGGACCGGGGGGCCTGGACGGTCGGGGGGGAGGCCTCGCCTGCCCCAAAATGTCTGTCACGAGAACTAATTGCTGCAACACCAAGCATCGTAGGATCGTGCATCCTCGGGACTTTGCGGACATTTTATTCCTGCAACAGAGGAAACCAAAGAACTAGGATCAGATTAAAATTACATAAATAATTTGCTACAGATGGACAAAAATGAAACCTGAAACAATATATTTAGGAGGCCCTGGACTAACAATCCAAGTGGACCACGTTCAGCAGAAAGGAACCAAGCCACATCAGCTATTGCCAAATTTAATCGAACAACTTAAATTCTTCCGAAAGAACGTTGGTGCGGAAGCCTTTGAAAATTTTAAGGAATTTGCTTCGAACTATGCAGAAAATTCACCATTTGCGCAAAAATCCGCACAACCGTGTTCATATATAACAAATTCAGTTGCTTAATTACAATTGGCAACAGCTGATATGGCTTAGTTCCCTTCTACTTTGCGCGATACAAAGTACTTAATATAATCGAGTGAGGCAGTGGCGATTTTGAAAGTTGGCAACACTGTGTTATCTCCATTTAAAATCATTAAAAATATAGATTTTAGTTGAGGCAAGCTGCTTTACCGATAATCGATTGTTCTACGTACATTTAAATGAATGAAAAACAGTGGTTCCAAATTTCAAGAATTGCCTCTAGGGCGAGGCAAAAGTTAATCCGGAAGTTAACGATACTTTTTGCCTTATGATGATTGTCTCTGCATAAAGTACAGTACACACTAAAAAAAGTTTTGAACGCCGTAGGTAATCACAGGATAAGTGAAGATACCATCCGTTCCGGGCCAAGGAGCCGTTTTTTCCGGCCACCAAAAAGGTCAAAACTATACTGCCGTGCTAAGGAAGAACACCGTATGAACATTCGAGAGTTGCCAAATTTCCTTGGATAAAATGTTTATTTATGAGGGAAATTATGAATATTTTTCCTTGAAATTTTCAGAGACTTTAGATCAAAATACAAAGAATATGCTCTGAAAAATTAGAAGAAAAATACTTTTACGTTTATCAGGGAATTCGTGTTTTATCGAATGAAACTTGGCAACGCCTGAAGGCTCATAAGGCGTTCTTCCTCAGTACGGTAGAATAGCTCCCAGATCAAGATTTAACGGTTTCTAAACCCGATATCGATGGTTGTTCACGTAGGTACACTGATTGCTGAAAATGAAGCAATTCCCGTAAGTTTCATGAGAGAACCTAACAACGGACTCCCATTTTCTGCATGTGAATTTAAGGTCACCAATAATGTTTTTAAACTACATCCAACAGATTACGACCAAAATAATTCTCAGTTTCGCCTCCATATGGACCGAGTTCATCAGAGAGGAACCAACCCACATTTTCGAAAAAATTGAGATGAGGATGTTTTTGATTTCCTCTATAGTTGCATATTTTCTTCTGTCAAAAACTTTAAGTCGAAAACAATATTAGTTTGTGAAAATAAGGGGTGAAAGTTTACTTCCCACATTTAGTCATATGGAGTCAAAACTAAACTAAACTTAAGACTTCAGACCTCTTTTGCTCAGTTTCAACTTGATGTAGGTTGGTTCCTTTTTGAAAAACTCGGTCCTGATATAACGGAGAAGGATATGAGTCGAGATCTTTTCTACTCCGTTCAATTCAAAGTGACAACGTTCATCGCAGAGTACCTACATAGTCGTTTCTTAAAACGCCTGACTTGACAGGGGCTTTTGAATTAGCAATTAAAATGGAAATCGAAGTCTGCACCTCTGTAGGGCTCCGTAGCCGGACGTAAAGGCAAGTAGGTAGTGCTAACGAACAATCCAGGACCTCGTGCTAGCGGCGGGTTTTAGAAATGAAGGGGACTCTCCAACGAAAGTGTCCTGTGTCCCCGACAGGGGAATCGAGTTTATTAGAAAGGTATCTAAGTTGCACGGCAGATTTGCGGTGATTGTGAGGCTTCTCCTATTTTGTAGCACAGCGTGAGAGCTCAAGTAGTATTGTCGCTAGAACATACTCGTAAAATTTTAATTAAGAAAAAATTCCGTGAACATTTATATGCACTGTTGCTTAAGATGATTCGTCCCGGATTCTCAGCTTGGTCGACTTGGCGTGCAATATCGCACGGTAGTTCGACAAAAAACACAAATAGAGGAGAGCCGGTATGTAATATTTATCAGTTTGTTTTAACCATGCAGTGGGCGTTTTTCAAGTAATTTAGAAAACAGAGCCCTCAGCCGTGCGAAATCTGTTCACGTTCACGAACTGAGGAGTGAGTGCAACAAACCGAAAAACTTCTGAAAAGTTGTTAAAAACATATCGATGCTATACCTAAGTGCGAAACTACATGTCTCTGTATGCGATGTCGGTCGCAGACTTCCTGTCATACTTTATTTTTTCGTTAGAAAATTCCTGAACGTAATTATTTGAGAACTCCCTTGATTTATTTTTTTTTGTTAGCAGAATATTCTTCATGAATTTCAAGCTATGCAGTTGCCCTGTTTCTCTTTCAAAGAGTAAAAGAGTACTGAAATTTTGAGACACCGCAATAGAGATACGTGGTTTTGCACTTTGGTCGTCGACACGAGGCATTTTAAAATATCGATGGTGAAACTGGAGACATCCGGATCTCAGTTTGCGACGTTGCAGACTTCCCGTCAAACTGCATTTTCTACGTAAAAGTGAAATGAATTTTTTGAAAATTTCAGTGATTTTTCGTTATCATGTTGCTTCGGTTTCCTTTGAAAAAATAATAAAATAGGAGTGAAGATTTCGAAACACCGCCACGGAGATATATAGCTCGTCTTCGACACTTTCCGGCGAAAGTATCGCAAGCGCCATGCGATGTTTCAAAATTTCCGCCGTCATTTCATTTTTTCACAGAGAGATTTTTCAAAGAAACTGTCCGAAAATTTCACAGGATTTTCTTCGAGCTGCCGGTGTAATTCAGTAAGATTTTCAAACAGATGCGAGTAATGGTTATTTTTTCTACTCACGCGTTTAAGTCTCCTCGTTTACACTCGGAAGATTTTGATGATGAATAGTGCAAGTGGCGTGGCGTGCTTTTCGATAAATCGATTGATCTGCCATTTAAACATATGAAGAAGGATCGAGAAACAGAATGTTTGCAACGAACACCTTACTAATCGATTTTTTACCATAGCTTCAAATGGAGAAATATCGATAATCGATCATTTACACGCTTCGCTCCTGAATAATGCGTAGCCGGCAAACGAAATAAAATCGTCTTTTTTGAAAATTAAAATGTTTTTCTACCCAACATGTTCAAAATCCAACGTAAAGAGCTCTTTGCGGAAGTGTCCTTTTAAGAGGTAAAGATGCAGTTTTAAAAGAAATGCTATTTCGTCACCTTCCGGCCAAAGTATCACAAGCGCCATGCGACGTTTCAAAATGTCCGCCGCCATTTTATTTTTTCACAGAGAAATTGTTCCAAGAAACTGTCCGAAAATTTCACAGAATTTTCTTTGTGCTGCCGGGGTAATTTAGTGAAATTTTCACAAGAAACAGATTCAACCAACTATGTCTCTGTAAAAAAATAAAATGGCAGCGGGAATTTTGAAACGTCGCATGGGGCTTGTGATACTTTGGCCGGAAGGTGTCGATTTTTTTCAGTTTCACCGTTGATATGTGTACCAAGCCTTAGTAGCAGAACAAATTTTTGTGTTTCTAAAAAAAGTATATAAAAAAATATTTGTTATCCAAATGGTAGTTTTATATAAAATACGTGTAACGCTTATATATAAAAAAAATTAAAGTTCAGACTTGACCGTGAAATATGAAAAATGATAAAAGCTAGATAAGGTAATTTTGTTTATAGACAATTTTTTTTTATTTTTTTATATAACGCATGCATACGAAAGTGTTAAAAGTGAACATTTTCATGTAACTATTATATAAAAAACAGCTCATAATTTTCGTGAGCTTTTCGCAAATTAGAAGATTTTATAGTATGTTTGCGAAAAGCTCACGAAAATTAAGTTTTTTTTTATATAATGGTTACATAAAAATGTCCACTTTTAACACTTTTGTAGGTATGCATGCGTTATATAAAAAAAATTAACTCTCGTACATAATCTTTATCTTTTCCTTCTACGGTTCTGCTACTAGGGACACTTTGATAAATTTTAGGTAATTTTTTCCCAAGAGTTGGCAAAAATAAGCTTAAACAAAGGAATATCGATACATGAATTGGCTAGGGTGCCCTCGGCGAAAGTAGGTGAGCATCCCGTAGTGCGTAGTAGTGTGATCCGCACTCACACTGCTGAAGCTGAAGCCAGCCCTGAAATGAACGACACCTTCCAATAAGCCAACTATTCTCATTCCGCATTCCGCCGGGAGCCATCGAACCATGGTACTCGGCTCCATTTGTCTTCCCCGGCGAGCCGCTACCACTGCCGTTGTTATCCACTTAAGCCGACAGGCCATTGGCTCGTCCAGTCAATTTCCATTTACGACCTTTACGCTTCCGCTGCCCGACTTGCCGCCGCACAGAGGACCGAGTCAATTAGAGAAGTCAGACATGAAATTTTTAACTAAAACTGCAATTTTGATGTTTAATTCGTTACATTTAAAAAAGGGGTGCTGCAGAAATACGATTTCACGAGAACACCAATGGAACCACTTTTAAAACCTCAAAGTTGTGTATGAACGGAGTCATGAGCTTTTGAAGTTTCAAAATTCGGTCCGACCTCTCTCATTAACTCGATCCACTGTGCGCCGCGACGCCCGACTTTGGATGTAGATTTTGCCGCGTCACGGAGGTACCTATTTTTCAAATTTTTAAACGTGCATTTTCAGACGGCGCGGAAATTGGAGAAGGAGGAAAACTGTAGCATATTCTCGCCATGGTTGCCGGAGATACTGCGAAGTAGGTCCGCTGTAAACTTTTGCCGGTGCGAGAAAAAAGTTTTTCACAAAGAGTAAAGGCGGTACGATGCACCAGTCAATAGACACAAATTTGTGATCATGGCCAAGGTGAAGTCATTGCGCAGAGTATTCTCACAACCCAAGTAGCATTTTTCCTCGGAAAAATCGCGATATTTTGATATTAAGATGCGATTTTTTTACGATGTTTCGGCGATAAAACCGCTAGAATCATCAAC